TTATTTATATTTATTAAGTATACTTATGTTTTTCATCTAAAAAATCATAATAAATCTCAATTATGAGAAATAAATTAATTAATTGTCAAAATTTTGTATAAATATAGTGTACATAAAATTTGTATATAAGTGAATCCTAACTTACATATATAAATATAAGCTTACATTTAATTTATACAAAATTTTGACCATATATATCTTCGTACTATAAATGTAAAATTAGTCTAAAAAAGTCTATGGTCAATATTGAGTTTTTAGATGCGCTAGACTTATATGTGAATGAAGAGAATAATCTCAAAATATGTATATATTAGCCTAAAGGCATCCACACCACGGTTTTTTATTATTTTTAAAAAAGAGTAGAGCTCCATTTGTTAGGTGACTGTATATATTGCCACACCTAAAATTGTAAATGCCACACTTTAGTTACTAGATAAATTATTTTATCATTTTCGTTAATAGCCTATTATTAAAAGAATAAAATAATTCATACAATAACAAAGAAACGTTATTAACAATTTTAAGTGTAACAATGACCCACAGCCATTTGCATATCCTAAACCATTTGAAAATCAACTACTCCTACCAATGATAATTTAAGTTAGATGCATAATTAGATTCTCACTCAAAAAAATAATAGTTTATCGTTTTATTAGCAAAAACTTCTACATGGTGTCTTCTTATACTTAATTATATCCTACTGGCTACCAGCTAACATCCAGTGGACAGACTTCTCTATAAATAGGCGCAGGAAGGGATTGCAGTGACAACCGAGGCGAAGAGCTTTGAGTGTCCAGCAGCCGGATGGAGTAGACAGGACGTGATATTGGTCCGGCTCATCTTCGTCGCCTCTCCGCCGCGTCGGAAGCCTCAAGGCGAGCCGAACCAATATCACTCTCGTATACTTCTTCTTAATTATTCAACTATCAAATCGATAATTTTCAAGTTTCTTCAGGCAAAATATTTTCACCTTCATTTTCTTCTAGATTGAATCTTTCTTCATATTTTGCTTCTGTTGTCAAAGATGATTCCATTTCACATACTTCATTCTGGTTTTAGGTTGAAACTTCCTCTTGCGTTTTGTGTAAAAAAAAAAAAGGAAGGAAATGCATTCTATTTCTGTCTTTTAAAGTCCCCCTTAACTTTCTTTTAAACAGCAACTTCGAACAATAAACGGTAATTCTTCGAAAATCCCTTAGTTATTTAACAAACATCAAAAATATCATTTTCATCATTCAAGATTTGACATTTTGTGAGTGAATCTTGCTTTATGAGATATCGAGGATTTGATGATAATACGTATTGAAAACGTTGGTGGATACCGTAGCAAATTACTTTTGGTCAACTGCTGCTACATGACAAAGGTAACCTTTCTCATGAATTATGGCCTTTTTCTTTCAAGACAAAACCGACTGATTAATATGGAAATTTAAAAAATATATAATAAATTATATTATTTAAATTATTAAAAAAGAACAAGCCTCTTAATATTGACTATCTTCTTTTATAATAATTTTTATTTTATAATTTAATACAATTAAAGTCTAAAATACTATTCTCTTAAATTTTAATATATTTTATCAGTTTAACCCGTGCTTAGTCAGAATTGCATATTGGATCGAATGAAATGAGGGAAAACATATATAATTAGCCCAACTCATGTAAGCAACAGCGTGAAACATGATCCCTTACTTTATTAAAATTGAAATGGTATGGTAGGCGCACCCCCATAGCCGTCCTAACCGTTAACTTTCGGCATTTATATAAATGGTCAAGCTACTCTTCGATAATATACATGTACAGATTTTTGTCCCAAATGATTTTATATTTAATTTTATTAAAATTCAATTGGAATTTTGTATTTTAAGTGAAGTAGTTCCACCGCCTTCCCTGCCTCAAATTAAGGCTTTGAGGTGAGCACGGAAAATGAATACCTTTGTGTGCTTCTCTTTGTACTTTTACATATGCCCTTTTGAATAGAATGAAATAATTAAGGTTGTAAAGAAATAGAGATTAAGTAGTGCAAACTCTTAACTTCATAGGGATCAAGAGATTTTTCTTGCAAGATTAATTATGGCCTCTTCTCCAATTTGATTCTTTTATGCGTTCGATATAATTCAGTTTTTTTACTAGCAAAGAGTACTTTTTATTTTAAGGGTATAAAAAATACCCAAAAACATGATTACAAACCTTTGTTGACAATGCAATAGGAAATATTGGTATATATTCCGTTCGACACACCTTTTTAACATTTATTTAGTTTAACTATTAAAAATATACTGTAAGTACAATTAATTTAGTCAGTTATATATATATTTTGTATACATAATTATATTTTTAAGTTTGTTAACATTTAATTTCATATTAAAAAATAATATAATAATTTTTTATGTGAATATACTTTGTAATGTGTTGAATCAAAATGTGTACATACCAATCAGTATTCCAATGCAATATGCATGCTAAAATTCCTTTACAAATCAAACTTAACATGTAATCTTTCTAACCATCTATAAGACAAGGCAGCTCACACTTAGCATACCTCTTGCTGAATTATTAATGCCTGCCATGGATGATCAGATTTCCAAATTTCCAAAGAAAGATATGGTTTAGACTTTGCTTTTAACCAATAAAATGTTGTATATTTTATGTGTTCGATATATGATTGTGTTGGTTGTTACTTGATAATCTGTTCTTGGTTAAAATTGCTACGTCCTTTATTGTAACAGTGAGAAACCAATTAACAATTCATTGCACAGCAAGCGGGGAAATAAGATCCTTGCACGCTTTACTGCTTCATGGAAGTCATTAGCAGAGTGAATCATTAACTTTGTCCATGGTAATATATGAAATTCTGTAAATTTGTCTGATTTCAAAATTTTCTGTTATTACAAACATTTTTCCTTGTAACTTATCACTCTGGATTGAGTGATTTACGTTTTGCTTGTTTCAAAGGTGAAGTTCAGCTGTCCGTGCTCTACCATATATAATACATCTCTGCTACAGAGAAACTCTCCCGACATCAGGTGAATTTTGATCATGAAAACTCCCCGTTTGATTTTTTATTTTTTTGGGATATTGATCGATTTAATACATTGCAGAACTTATTTATTAAAAATTATTATGATTGTATTAAAAATTATTATGATTTTATTAAAAATTAAAAATAAATAAACTTAAAGATGCACTAATGCAAACAACATGTAAAAATTGATTAAATTGACTATAATTATATGATTAAATCAAATAAATATAAAAAAATATATCGAATCGAGAAGTATATTATTTATTTTTCTTTTCTCTGAACTACCCTAAAAATAAATTAAAGTTAGCAAGCTGTTGTTGCTTTCTGTTCTTGATTTTCTCTAAGTCTTTTTATGTTTTTTTTTCTAATCTGAATTAAAATCTTATCCTTAACTTTGGATTTTTGTTTTTCATTTTTCTTTATGGGGTGAAGGCTAGGTGTTTTTTCTTTAAGCAATAATTTAATTTGATAAGTGAAAATAATTTCTCCTCCCCTCTCTTCTCTTTTATTTTTCTTTAACCAACCAGACACTCTTAAATATGAAAACAGATGATCAAGCAGAGTTTTCTGTTTTTATTGAACTTGTCTTCCCAAAAATCACTGTTGTAATGTACGCGAGATTGCACATTTTGTACCTTAGATTAATAGTATATTTGGTTCTTTCCTCGACAGAGAATAGACATCTTTACTGGTTTGCTTTATCAGTTTATCGCCTGTCCTGTACAACCTACTTCGCCGACCAAGTTATATTATATATGAAAACAAGATATGTGTATTAGGGGTTGAAGCCAACTAATACCATGAACTTTTAAAAAAATTTTCATTTATTAATATTCTTATAAGTATTTTTGTATAATTATTCTTGTAATTAATTAAGTATTTGTTTATCATTGCCCTTTTACTCTTCATGTTTTTTGTTCATCAATATCATTCCTCGGGGGCAGCTAATAGCCCATCTCAGTCATATGATACGTTTAGGTTATACATAGGTTATGGAAAATGATTTTTTTTCACAACATATTTTTTATAATTCATACAATAAATTCACTTTTTTTATGTGGTTAATTTTTTCCATTCAGTTGAACATGGAAATTAATATGCATTTCATCACTCAATAAGAGTGTGAATGATGTCTATTAACTTGTCAAAAAATGCTAATTGTTAATTGCAAGATGCTGAGTGCACAAGCACAATGAATTTTAAAACAAATATTTCTAAGAAAATATCTTAAGAATTACTATCTTAAGATTTTTAATCAAAAATTTTGAATTCAAATTATAAGACAAGTTGAGAAAGAATTAAGGAAAGATGAAGGTTATTCATATTGTATAGTCAATCATTTTGATAATTTAAAAAAATTAAGAAACATATTTATTTTGTTTAAGTTTTCTTCTTTACTTTTTTAAGTATATAAGA